ATCCCCTATATAACCCCCTTTTAAGTAGTTTAGACTATAGCTCATGTTTCCTTCCACTGCTCTTGCTGTGGACACGTGCAGCGTTGTCTTGCCTGCAGACCTGACCATTCAGATGCGAGGCGGCAGCATTTTGCCTCAGGTGCTCAAGGTGCCACAGCTTCTGATAACCGACCGCCGAGCCAGGCACAAGCCATCGATCTTTGCCTCAGAAAAAGCTGAAGTGTGTGAACTTTCTTGTAGCTCCAACAGAATTCCTCCAACGAGCTGGTGACCGGTCGATTCTTGAGAAGGTCCGCGTCATGAGCAGCTTCGTACTCCTTGTCGTGTGTGTGCAGAGAGGACAGGGGATCAGCGTGGCCAACTGCACATGAATTCATTAAATCCGAGGGCTTTGCGGTCTTATCTCTGAAATAGAGCATCCCAGCATTGCATCTTCAAGCATTCATTAGTAGTAGTTGTACATCTGCGCTCTTCTAGTATATTGCGATGTTCAAAGGTAAGCTCTTTCCCTGAGACACCTCGCAGCCGCTAGCTGGATATCGTGTGCGCAGGCCTTGCGCATCTTCAAGGAAGGCTGAAGCTCCTCAAGACCACCCTGCGCTCGAATCCTCAAACAAGGGGTGCTTCTGCCACGGTTATCACACCAAGTCCAAATGCCATGTCCCATGCACAATGCAGCTTTCTGTGCTTTTGCCAATATGTTGCCCAATTCATATTTCGTGTCTTTACCAGCCTATGCGAGTCTGCCCAAGAAACCCACGCAGAGAGGAGGTAGACTGGAAAGGGCCTGGTCTTCACCTTTGCCATGATGGGAAGTCTGGCATTGTAGCAGCCCCGGCAGATCTTATTCATGTAGGTGCACCTGTGATACGCCAGGTGGAAGGACACTCTGCCTTTCCAGCGGGTCACACTTGAGTCTCTGACTGCTGCACTTCCATGATGTCGGGGGCGCCATTTGCATCCGCCAGGTACTTCCATTCATCCTTCCCAAGGAGAGAGGCAAGAAGCACTGATATACATGTGTATATATATATATACACATGCATATAACCACGCGATGTTTTAATGCAGCAACAAGCACAAGCGGAATTCCATCATCACGGATTTCTCAGACGTCGAAGCTTGTATATCTTGATTAGTATTCTATGCCCTCCAATAATCCCAAAACCGTGTACCGCGTCCAACCAATCAGGCTCCAATCTGGGTTTCTCCTCCCTAATTAAACTCTAAACCCTAATCCCCTATTGCCAATATTGCTACATCAGTCATCTGGCTTCTACTGGTGCCCGAGTATGCGCCTCCCAGGAACTCATATAAAGCCAGGAACTCATATACGGCCTAATTGAGGCCTAATTGACGAAAAAATCCTTAGTGGCCACCAACAATGCCTGAAAAGGCCATTAAGTCGTCATAGAGGTTTGGATGAACAGGGCTCTTGTACTGTAAATATCACAGTCTTTCGTACAATATATATATATATGTATGTATCTATACATATATACCCATTTTCTTTTCCATTTGATTCTCCTTCATTCGGGTAACATACCTAAACCTAAACCCTAATCTCTAACTTACTGGTTGTGAGTAGGGAACAAAGGAATACATGCGCTACACTACCCCTATGTTACATAGAGAGAGAGAGAGAGAGATACATATATAGCCTTATTCCCTGCTCAGCCCCAGTTAGCTAAATTAGGTTTCGGGTTTAGGGTTTAGGGACATCCTAAACCCTACACCCTAAACTCCCTTTTTGGGATCCTCATGGATCCCGGCCTCCGTACACGGAGGATCTAGCTCCCACCTGCGAGGCATAGAACACCCTGGAAATACTTACTGGGGGAAGTAATAATAATAGTGTTATAAGTTATAGTAAGAGTACTAGTACTAGAGATAGTAATAGAAATAGTTGTAACTCTAGTGGGGAATACGGGAAAATTCATATATGCAGGGACAATTTTCCCTTATTCCCTGCTAACCACGAGTAGATAAAACTGGCACGGCAAAGACTTCTGTGCTTTTTAAGACATTTGAAGGGCATGTTAGTTTGTGGGATTGGGGGATGAAACCTAAAGCCTAAAAAACCTAAACCCTATAAACCATAAGCCCCAAATCCTTATACATCTGGACTCCCTTCTTACCGGAAATCGTGACCTATCAACTTCTGATCACAGCCCCTGGCATGCACACTGGCGGATTACGGTTTAGGGTTTAGGGACCTATGTGCACCTATGCGTGAGGTATCCATGCACATGTATACACATACGCATATGTATGAGCTACATGTGGTAGTTTCCCTAAATAGGGGGACCCCAATATAGATCCCAAAATATTATAATCTTTATCATTGGGACCCCCAAAATGGTACCTCTAATTTTGGGAAACCTCGATGTACATAGGTATAGATATATGTCTTGCGCAGGACAATCTGTGCAAGGAAGATTGAAGGTGAGCTTTCACACACCATCTCGGATAGGTACATACATATATAGGGTTCAGGGTTTAGATATATATATATATGTATATATATGATTCTATGTATGAGGGTTTCCAAAATCAAGGGTCCTTTTGCCTGGGTCTCTTATTGTGTTTGAGGGTACATTCAACGTAGGCCGTAGGCATCCCACTTATGTGGAAATGCTCATAAATACGTTGGATACTAAAAATCCTACATGACCCTAAGTACCTTGAAACTTGGGAACTATGGTACTATCGTATAGTAAGGTCATGTAGGATTTTTAGTATGAAGAGTACGCTTCATAAACCACGTAAGGCAGCTTACCAGAATTCCTGCATGGACAATTCCTGAGCTTGCCGAAATCATACGATTCGGGTTTAGGGTTAAGGGGTAGCTAAACCCTAAACACCAGCTGTGACTCCTGTTGCCCATGGTGAAGGAATGTTATCCCATCAACTCCTCTCAACCACGCTTAAATGAGGCACAGCTCGTGTGCAGCAAGACCCTACAACCAAGCCTTACTGGTGGTTAGTACGGAATGAGGGAATATATTATAGGGGTATGGTACAGGGTGATATAGGGATTCTGGAAAAGAAAATGGAAACTACTATTTAGGATTTAGGCTTTAGGATTAGCAGGGAAGACTTGGAGGGTCATGGGGACTGAGTAAGTGGGTTAATATTGGGGAGAATTGGGGTTATTACATGGCTTATAGGGGTTATTAACCTACTTACTAAGTCCACATGACTCTCCCATTAAGGGAATATAATCCCCATTTCTTGCCTACATGATATATGCAACCCCGTTCCCTACTAACCGCCAGTAAGCTAAAGCAAAACCCTAAACCCTCAACCCTGCACGCTAAGGAACTGAGCAGGAGAGGCCTCAATGGATCCCATTTCCAATCTTTCGTTCCTGTCTCCTGACAAGCCATAAGCTGGCAGACACCAATAACACTTACCACTACCTGCTGTTACACTTTGTTACTCACAATACTGTTGCCACTAGCAGTACTACCATCATTGTATTCTTACTAGTATATCTGTTACTATCACTGCTGCATTAATATGTCTTTTGCTGGTGCTAGTATTACGTACTTTTGCCGGCCTTTCCACAAGCTGCACACGGCATGGTAGCAGATTCGCTGCTTCATGCTATGACCACAAGCTAGGGGTCATATCCAAAAGACGCTGGTGCTAAGTATGGTTGCTGAGTCACTGCATCGCAACGAGGTGCTGCATCTCGGTTCAATTGGTCAAGTTTTGTATGTGATGGCTAAGAGGGTTTGAGTCACATCAGTCCCTAACTATATCTCTTGATGAAATTTGTAAGGTGCTATCCATCTTCGACAGTGTCACCGTGTTTGGGCCCTGGCTTGGACTGAGTTGAGCTTCAGACTGGGCCTTGTTCATTGTCAACCCCATCTTGGACAGAAGCTGGATGCAGAACAGCGAACATAGCAAGCCTTCGAACATTACGTCTTCTGCTTATGAAATGATCTGTAGGGCTCCTGAGCCCAAAAGTAACCCTAAGATGAACATATGGGGGTAGAACCAAAATACTGTTCCCAAAATGGGGGAAATGTATATAAGGCCCCGTATTATAATAGGAACCCAAATATGGGACCCCGTATGGACCGTAATTTAGGACAATCCCCATATGACAAACCAGGATCCCTCCCCCAACTTTGTGATGTTCAAGCAACTGAGCTCGGAGTGCACATGACCTATAGTCTAAACTCCTTAAAGGGGGGTTATAGGGGATATAGGATTTATATATAGAGATTATATGGGGATATATAGGTTATATAGGGATAATGGAAAAGAAAATGGAAACTACTATTTAGGGTTTAGGGTTTTGGGTCTAAACTCCTTAAAGCGGGGTTATATGGGGGATTATATAGGGGACTACTATAGGGGTTATTAAGGGGGATACTAGGAGTTTAGACTATAGCTCACATGGGTACATTTGTCTGACTTTCTGGAAAGCCGCATCGGGTATGGTTCCTGTAGCACAATCGAATTCAGGGACTGCCCACGCAGACCTCCAGACTTCATCAGGCACATACTCTGCGCTGCTATTTACAGATGGCCGTGTGGGATCACAACAGCAAAGGACAGGCAAGAACAGGCACATTCCTGCCAAGAGTGCCTATAGATCTCCAGCAAAGGTCAGTGAATCGCACACGCGCCAGATGGCTTGTGGTCAGAGTAAATAAACTTTGCGCACTGACAAAAGATTCAAAGCCTCAGGTGCAAGGGATGCACAGCCAAAGTACTCCAAGGACCACTTGGGGGGTCAGGGAGACTTAGTAAGTAGGTTAAAAATGGGGAGAAATGGGCTTACTATATGGGATATAGGGGTTATTCACCTACTTACTAAGTCTCCCTGACCCTCCAAGCAGTGGAGACGAACTTGCAGGACGAAGGGCAGGTCAAACTGGCAATGCCGCGAATCAGAACTGTCGGTCCCTAGGTCAGGTACCAACCCTAAACCCTAAACCCTGGACCCTAAGATGGATCAGTACCAATGATGACGGAAAGATGGAAGCCTAAGTTGGACATTTATCCATGCGCTGCCGCAGCATTTCCAGCGTCGTCTTGGCTGCCCTGCCCAGTGGCCTCACCTTGCGACCTGTGCTGCCTCTGCAGATTGCGGCACCTTTCTAGGTGCTCCACAGAGAAGGAGACAAAAACAGTCAGGGAGCTGTACTTTCTCATTTACTCATGCTTACTTGGGAATGAAGGAATAACGTGGGTTGCGGATCATAATCAGGGAGATGGACTACTACAGGGATCCATTCCTTCTTCCCAACTAAACACTATAAATGTAAATAAAGTAGCTTCCATTTTCTTTTCCATTATCCCCATAGAACCCCAATATAACCCTAATATTACCCCAATGGCTTACAACCCTAAACCCCCTTTAAAGGTGTAGAGCTCAGAGCTCCTGCGCAAATGCTCCAAAATCTGCCCTCTGCGCCTATGGCAGCGGGCCACTGTGAGCGTCAGAGCTATGTACAAGTATTTGGCCTGGGTTGCTGTTGAAAAAGGTTCAGCCGTCAGTGCATAGCCACGGACTCTTCATTATAACTATTCTCACTACTCTCACCATTGTTCCTGTTATTAATAGTATTACCATTATGAGTATTGCTCCTTTTAATGTGTCAGCAACCACAGGACAAGAGAAGCTGTGAATAATTTGCATCGGTCTGCCGGCAACTCAAAAGCCAGGGCCTGTCTGCCAAGGCGAGAGACTGTCTTGGGGGGTCAGGGGGACTTAGTAAGTAGGTTGATAATGGGGATAAATGGGCTTACTATATCGGTTATAGGGGTTATTAACCTACTTACTAAGTCTCCCTGACCCTCCAAGGTGAGCTTACGAAGGTGCAACACAGTCATAGTAAGGATAGTAGTAGAAAAATAGCATAGTAGTAATAGTCATGGCAATAACCATACTAGTAATACTTGTAAAAATACGAGT